TCAGAACCAGTGGTAATCATTATCAGCCGCTAATAAGAGCTTCCTAACAAGCGGAAGCCTCTGATTGGCTGATGGTGGAACTCCTTAACAAGCGCAAGCCTCTGATTGGCTGATAGTGAACCTCATTAGTCTCTAACAGACTCCATGTTTGTTTCTGCAGCTGAAGGAGAAGCAGGAAAGTCGACCCCTGCTGAGTCCCTCCATCGATGACTTCCTCTCAGAGAGCCGCAGTGACGCCTCCTCCAGCCAACCCCTGACCTCCAGCCGACCCCTGACCTCCAACACAGCAGGTAGCTTCAAATGTATTGCCCCTCCCCCCCTCCTTAACCCCTGGACCGCTCAGATCAGCTGCAGGTGTCATGGTGGACATTAGGGAACCTCTGGATTCCTGTAATCGGGTCTGACCAGCAGAACCGGAACCAACTCTTAAGTGACCCACAAAGCTGGTTCTGGAGATCCAGCTCCGGTCCACCTCATTGAGACCCAAACAGTTCTGTCTGGTTCCGAGTTGAAGTCGCATCAGGTCCAGAATCCACCTGGACCTGGAAGTCCAGAACAGAAGCAGAACTCTGCAGGCCAGATGTTCAATCCTCCTGGGTTTAGATGTACGATCTCAGATCAGAACCCAGAGACAGCACCTGGAAATTTGGACTCTGTGTCCATCAGAACCAGCCCATCCTCCGGTCCTTCAGATTTAGCTGAACCCTCTGAACGGATCCGGTTCGGTAACATCCAGAAAATACTCTGTGTTCTGTTGCAGTTTTGGCCACGGCTCTGGACCTGGTGGACCTCAGCGACCCGCCTGAGACCCGGGAGCGCAGGGCGAGGAAGAGTCCGCTGAGGATGAAGGGCGGGTCCAGGAGTCCTCGACACAGAACCAGAACCGATGAGACAGAACTAACCCAGGTCCGAGTGGACCCCCTGCCCACCAGTCCCAGAACCCCTGAACGGATCTCTCTGGACTCAGGTAGGTTCTGGTAGCAGAGATCCAGACTGGTCTGGTTCAGGTAACCTCTGTCAGGTGTTCCGTTTGGACCCAGATCTGTGGGTGGGTTTCTCCGTCCTCCCAGAGTTCTGTTGATGTGTTCTTCATGACCCAAACGTTAAAGTTCAGCCGTCGTTTGGAAGAAAGTCTGTTGAACAGTTTTTCTGGTCAGAACCAGAAGGATCCAGAAGATTTGGACCGTGTTCTGTTGGGTTTTTACTTTCAGCCCCTTTACTCTGCCCCGACTAAATAGAACCCAACAGAACAGAACGGTTCTTTACTGCCCCTCATTGGGCCGGTTCTGGTGGGGAAGGGAGGTGATAGAAGAAATTCCTGAGGTGAGATGAAGGACCAGACCTGCAGGGAACCGAGCAGAGAAAAGTTCATGGAATAAAGGAACCACTGGACTGAGGGCAGTGCTGGTTCTCTGGACCCATTCGGTCCTCTTGGTTCTGTATGGACCCCTCCAGTCCTCTTGGTTCCGTCTGGACCCCTCCGGTCCAGCAGGAGAACCACCCTGATATACGCTGAATGGGCTGCAACGGCCTAGTCAAAGTCCTGAGCTAATTTGAGCAGCGAGTCGTTGACAGAACCTGGACTGTGACGTTTCCAGATGTTCTCCATCCAGACTGCCTGAGCTGCAGATGTTTTAGATGAAAGGTTTCCATCTGTAGAGGCTCTGGGCTGGGAGAGAAGGAACCGCAGAGTTCTGACTGAAGACGATTGTCCTCCATGTTCAAGGGGGTGAATACTTTTTTCTGGCTCCTTTTCCAGACAGGAAGCAGCAATGGATGCAGCTACCTGTTCTCCATGAGGCCCTGCAGAGCCCAGATCAGAGGATTCATTTAGCTGAAAGCTTGAGTTCACCGAGTCGTGAGGAGCGCTTTAATCTGAGCTTTTACTTTGATGAGAACTTCCTGTTTTAGAGCTGTGGTGACCTCTGACCTGTGACCCGTGTCTGTGTGCTGGATCTGCTCTCATCCGTGTTTGATGTTGTTTACAGTCAGCCTGTCGTCTCCTCTGGACAAATGGGACGAGGTCCAGCAGGACTTGGAGGACGGAGGAGAAAGCAGGAGACGATGCCAGACCAGATGCACCTCCCAGCACTCCTCCAGTGAACTGCTGTGGTAACGCTTCCCTCCCCAGACACTTCCTTTATATCCACCATGATGTTCACAAACGCTACTTTCACACTGCAGGCCT